TATCTGCTTCAGATTAAAAGTTCCAGTCAAGTCTGGCAAGCCCAGTCAAGACTGAATATAAGAATCAACAAAGTACTTCAAGTATTAAATATAAAACAATGAATATGATCAAGTAAAGACAATAAATGAACACAAGGAATGTTTGAAAAAAATGATTTGAGAGAAAGGTGCAAGTGAAGTAAATGTGAAAGTGTCTATCTATAGTGGAACAATCTGTAATCTGGTTTTGTCATTGAAAGCTTCTTAAATAGAAGAATAAGTTACATCGTACTAACCAAAAACATACATAGGACCGGATAATAGAGTTAGTCCTTACACTCTGGTTATCTAAGTTGACAAAAGAGATTAAGTCCTATGATATGTTACATCAAACTAAATGACACAAGTAATTAATGCAGACGGACAAACTGATTTAGACATGAACCATCTCAGAACATCAACACTTGAACATAATCTTTATTCGTGACACCAATTTGACTCCGGACCACAAGCTGACTCCGGACCATGAACTGACTTCAGAACAAGGCTGACTTCGGAACATACACAAGATAGAGATTGCTAGAGGTTCACTTTCAGGTTCCAACACTCTCATCATCCTCTTCAGAACCTGTTGATGAAGAAATTCACATAGAGGATCAAGTCCAAGTCATTCCTGAAGATGAAACTGAATCAACTCCCAAGAATGTCAACGCTGATACCGATGGGTTTTAAGCACTCTAACAACCTTAAGGTGCACATATAACCCTAAATGCTTTGGATCTATGTTTTCTCTAATTATACATGCAATTTGATTTTCCAAAGCATTATCCTAACTAGCATACAAAACATGGGTACTTGTTTAACAAAAACTAGTTAGATGACATAACTTTTCTTGTAGCTTGTTAACTTGGACCTTTAAGAGCCTAGCACCCCAAATGTGATGTCTCAAATGCTTCACAAAACACCACCAACAATGGAGGACTTGAGAGAAGATTACTTGCACACAAAATCGGCTATGCTCTTGTAAAGATCACTAGAGGCCGATTTCATGAGCTAGGGGACTACTTTTATAGTGTGGCAAGGATTAGGGTTACATCCATGTAAACCCTAATGTGCATGACCTTTAATATTACTTAGGCTCCATGGGTTAAACCTCCATGGACTATCCATGGACAACCATGTTGGTTTAGCCCAACTTAAATAACCATTGCCCCACACTATAAGAATCATTGATTTACCAAATCAACCCATTACATTTAATTACCATCTTTTGATCACTAAATTAATTCCAAATTAATTCTTGATCAATAATAATCAAATAATATGATTTCATATTAATATATTAGAACTTATAATATATTAATAAATCATAAATAACCTCTTCTCAAAAGCCCATCCTGACAAATTGTTCAGGTGAAATGCAACCCAAATGGACCATGCTACTCTCGGGTCAAGTACATACCAATTATAGTTATGGACTTAGACACCTTATCCAACAGATACAACTCATCATGGCACCTCCGAACAGCCAGTCAAACAAGAAGCTGACAAGAACAAGTCCCAGACTTCCAGTTCGGACACCAGATCTTCTACATGAAACTACATTGATCCGTTTGCCCTTTTGGAACTCCTAGACAATGTCTCTGACACTATGAAGAAAGTTGATGTCATCGAAGCTTCTATGGCTGGACTCAATAGGAAGATCGATGAAAAGGTTTCCAAACTAGATTCCAAGCTTGATGCAATACTTCGATCCCTGTCCGAAACCAATAAGTCCGGACCCACTGTTGCTGAAAGAGAAGCTCAGCTTGATCATCTCATTTCTCTCCACCTCAAGCATACTATCGAAGAAGTTGAACAAAAATATGATGCTTTTGTCGATCACTACCTTGACATAATCACAAAGATGTTGAACGTTCATGATGATTTGGTAAGTGCCACAAACGACCTCATCAAACAAACTCCTATTCGTCATGAGAAGTAGATTCAACGCTTAGAGAAGGAGATCCGGAAAAAGGATGAGATGAATATGATCATCCAGCAAGTTCTTCTGAAGCTTCTTAGGGCATGTTGGAACATCGTGGATGTTCCGAACAATAAATTTGATGAGATGCTTTCGATTCTTTCAGCTCTCTTTGATCATGTCAAAGCTTAGGCTCCCACCATTGAAGCTTATGATGCCCTAACTCTCCAGCTCAACACCAGTTTCCAAAAGGTGTTTGACAAGTTTTCGGACCTGAAGGAATCATCTTTGCTTGCATCGGTTGTCGGGCCTTCCTTTGCAAGAGGGGAGAAGGACCCAGTTCAAGAACTCATCCCTGGAAACCTGTCTCGGAGTTCAGACTCCGATATGAATCTGATGACTCTCTACAAATCCTTTTAGGTTCTCCTAGTGATGATGATGATAATGATGTTGATGATGATAATGATGATGATGATAATTATGATAGTGATGACGAAGATGTGTATGTGAAGAGCAGAGTAATAGGACTTCAAGCTCCAAGGAAATATCCTGCTAAAGTGCTAACGGAGGAAGAGCAAAGAATCTAGTCAGCTGTATCCTGGACATCTACCTTGGCTGATGTTCTTCATAGAAACATAGAAGTAGCTAAGGAAAAAAGAAAATTAACCGCTGATGCCTTCCGAGCCACTACTTCAATGCTACCTCCAATTCCTTCTCCTAAAATAGCTCCTATTGATGAAGGATCTCCACTCCGGAAGCCGGATAATATTCCGGAAGAGCCCCTGAATTCCTCTCCTCCGAAGTTTGTCATTGATGAAAACATGCAACACATCCTCTCCTCCCTCCAAAAACTGGAAGACAAAGGCAAGAAGCCCATTTCAGACTTCTCCTACTCTGCTCCTCATTTGACTGAAAGAAGTGGTTGGTCCCGTGATGAGATCAATCAAGCTCTTGAAGAAAGCATCTGGATACAATCCTTCAAGGATGATAACCCTCATCCGATTCTAGGGATCTATCCTCTTTGCAGAGATGGAATCTTGAAAGACGTTGACATAGTGCCTTTTATGTACTATGATCTTCCGAATCAAGATTCGGACCAGATCGACTTGCCTCTATCCCTCTTCAGCAAGTTTTACATAAAGTTTGCTCCTCTCCATCCAGAAGATGATCCTCAAATGATCATCTGGACTGAATGTGAAAGATTGACGACCTTCTATTCCAAGAACGCACTTCCTCAAAAAGAAGTCTAGTCTCGGAAAAGGATCACAAAAATCTCCGCATTTGAACGGAAAATATTGACCAAGTTCGAACTTAATTGTATGTGGTTCTGGTACAACATATTCCGAAACAAACCAATTCAGAAAACCATCACTGACGCCGACTTCCCTATAATCAACCCAAACGACATTCTGACGATTGTTACACAGTTCCGAAACCGTCAAGTTGATGATCTTAGCATGGGAGCATACCACGCTGCTTTGAGCTTCCTCAAAGATTATGTTGCTGAATTCTTCCGATGCAACTTTGAGCTGGCCCATATGTTTCGAACCGAAAAATACTTAGCCAAAATCGACTTCAAGCTGCCTTAAGTTGAAATATTGGAAGAAGGACCCATTGATGAACTAGTGCTAGGTTTTTTCTATCTCCAAAGAAAAACAAACCAGAAGGACTTCTTCCGAGTCCTAGACACACACCTGGTTCCCACCAAGGCCCTTCAAAAGTTCATAAGTCGATCATCAAAGTCCGAAGCACCGGAGCACGTGAAGACAAAGTTCATAAGTCAGCTGCAATGGTACATCGGAGTCAGAGAATGCTTGTACAGGGCATACGTGTTCATCAAGGAAGATTCAAGCTAAGCTGACTGGATTGCTAAGTTCACTTAGGGGAGATTGTTGGAACCTGAAAGTGAACCTCTAGCAATCTCTAACCTTTGGATGTTCCGAAGTCAGTCTTAGTTCCGAAGTGGAATATCGTCCGGAGTCAGTCTGTGGTCCGAAGTGAAGTTGGTGTCCTGAGTAAAAAGGATGTTCAAGTGATAATATCTCGATGTAACAGTACATAGGACTTAGTTTATTTTGTCAAAATGGATAATCAGAGTGTCAGAAGTAACTCTTTTTTCCGGTCCTATGTATGTGTTTGAGTTTGTACGATGTACTCATTTCTCCTATTTAAGGAGTGTTTAATGACAAGAATAAACGACAGATTGTTCCACCCAAGATAGATATATTTGAATTTACTTTACTTGCATCTTTCTATTAAATCAAAATCTTTCAAACATTCTACTTGTTCATTTATTGTCTTTGCCTTGATCATTATCATTACTCCATATTTAATACTTGAAGTACTTTGTTGATTCTCATCTTCAGTCTTGACTGGTCTTTCCAGACTTCACTAGAACTATTAATCAGAAGCAAACGTTGATCTTAAGCAATAACTCAAGGTTTGAGTTTTCAAGCCTTATCCCTGCGCAATCAGATCTTTGTTCTCACATTCACTAGTCGTCATTTTCCGCTCTCCCCTGAACTTCATGGCACAAATGGCGGGTGGAAAATCAAGTTTTGTTGGGTAAATGCAAATAGCTTTTATCTTCCCTTCAAAGTTGGACTAGTGCCTCTGTTGGATGATTCGGTATCTCTATCTGCTGAGTTATTTGAATATATACCGTTATTTTCTCGCTTCTATATAAAAAAAATTCTTTTTGAAGTTGTACTTCCATTGTGCCATATGAGCCCGATTTGGAAAGCTCGAGGTCAACTACCAGTTTTCCTGATTTAGTAAAATCTTATTGTTTCATGTTTATGTATCCACCTGATATAAATGTTGTTCTTTTTTGTTTTCTATTTGTTTGTTAAATATTCCATACGGTAGTAAATGCGCTTTTAACTCGATTTCATATTTTTCTGGTGACATATTTCCACAGTCTAGTATGTTGGAGGATGTAGTTCAGGATAAGGTCTTGGATCCATTATATGTTTTGCCCGTGTCTCCTTTCGAGTTTTCGGGATACTGGTCCGACACATTCTCTATTGGTCAACTTTAAGGGGCTCCCTGCTCCTCCATGAATGCTCCACACCTTGTAGATTCCAATGCTTATGTGGATTCCAATCCTTATTGTATCTCTCTTCCTACTCGTAAAGACAAACGATTATTAAGACCTCATCAGCTTGAACACTTTTTACGTGAGGTTCTGGGGACTCCCCTATGTATGTCTTCCTCATCATCTGACCATCCCCTTCCTGTTATTGCTGGTATATACGATTGGATATGTCATTGTGGCTTCTATTGGATCTATATGGCCAAGAATCATTATTGAGTGATATTGCTAATAACATATGATCATATAACATCACACCTAAATCAAGTTGGTACTTATCGAATATTTATTCAGAATTTGATTATTAATAAATAAATTTAACTCTTGTATTTAATTAGAAAATAATTATTATTAATAAATAATTATTATTTGGACACTTTGGTTAACCATTATTGCATTAGTTAGCTACCCTACTATGGTTTAAAAGCTAGTAAACGTTTTTTGTCCTTATTAGGGCCATATGGACGAAGATATGATGAGGAGTGGAGGTTGCTTGTCAACCTTCGCTCTCTTGTTTCCCATGCTCCTCTTATTAGCCCATACTTTAGAGTATTATATTCAAAATGTTTTACCTTGAATGGGAAATATAAAGAGGCTCTTATGCATGAAAAAGTTGCTAGTTTTTTGGTCTTCATCTTCTACTGTTTCTTTCCAAAAACGTTAAGCAACATAGAGCTTGGAGCTCTCTTTCTTTTGAAGTTTGGTGCTTTCCTTTTGGTGCTTTTTTGTCTTCCGTTTTAGTACTTATTTTTTAAGAAATTAAAGTCATAAAGAACAAAGCAATACATGAAGAAAACTAGCATTTTTGATACCTTATCTTGTCGGTGGATTACTTGTAGAGAAGATCAAGCTTCTTCTTATTGCCATCTACTTCAACACCCCAAATCCAAAACGGTCCAAAGGCTTCAATGGTTGTCATTCTAAAACACCATATGGTCGTTTTTATATCAATCTAACCTCATTAAAAGGATCCTTGATGGTTTGGTTTTATTATATACTCGGAATTTATCAGAATTTTGTAAAGCTTCTGTAGCCAGTTCTTATGACAAACTCTCTATTTTATGTATCAAAAACCTTCAGTGGTATTAGAGCCATCTTTCAAATTCTAGAATGGTTTTTCATGTTATTATAATCTTTGATTTTTGGAAAACAAGCATGGATTTATTTTTGGGTAAATAATTGTCCATATTTGTTTTCTTTGGCAACTTGTTGTTAAAAGTGTTTATTTTTATATATAACTATTTTTCCATGCATTTTGGTTACATGAAAGTTGCGTTAGAAAAAACATAGAGCTATTTTTTGATATGTTTGTTGTGTATAAACAAGTCATTAGGACATTTGTGGTTTTTATTTATTTATTTATATATATGATGATGTAATAAGTTGCGTTAGATAAATAGGTATTATTTCATTTGTTCATTTTTATATGTAATAAATTAGTTTTTTATACTAGTTGTATTTTATTTTTTTTAAAATATAACAAGATGGATCATGAAGATCTTATGAAGACATGGAGCCTTTTAAAGGCCTTGAAGTGTCCCATTAAGTCCTTCCAGGAAATGTCTTAATATTTGTTGTGATGGCTTACATAAATATTACTTTAAAAAATGGTTTTGTTTATACACATTAAAATGCATTCTTGTGATGTTTATTTTTGTTGTTATAAAATGTTATATGTATGTAAATGTGTTTGTCATGCTAAAAACACTTTCACAAAAATAACATCAAACTTAGGGTTTAGAGTTTTAAATAAAAGTTTCCAACATAAGATGTAAAAAATGAGTTTTTGTTAAAAAGAGTTTTAAATTTTTAGAACTCTTAAATAGCCAAACTTTTAAAGATATAAAAGTATTTAAAATGATTTTTAAACTTAATCTAAACTCCATAACTCTATAATAAAATGTTGTTTTATTAAAAAGTAAAAAAAAAAACGTTTTCAATCGTTATAACGTCGAATTAAAATTCAATATAAATCTTAACCGGTAAAATTGAATGTGAAATAATTTCAACTTTATAAATTTTGGAACATTTTAAATGTACCAATAAATATTTTATGCATGAAATATTCATGATACAAAATGTTTTAAAATGATAGAATAATAAAACATTGATAAAAACCCTTATTTCAAAAACTTCAAATCTATGCAATCCACTTAAATATAATTTAGCATTTTTGTGCAATTCTTGTGGATTTTAGGGTCTTCTTATTCATTTGGGTTGTCAAAAATGAACAAGGTGTTTTATATTAACTTATGGGATAAAGGTCACCTAACCATTTGTGAAACATAATTCACAAGTTTTTTAAATGGATGATTTGATCAAATTCTTATGTGATAAAGGTCACCTAAGCATATCAGTTTTCAGGCATAAATGGGATGAACACACAGTTAAAAACAAAGTAATGTTTTTTGGATCCCATTAATCTAAGAATTACATAAGAGTTGTAATTGGTTATCGCAACCTACCGATCAACAAAATCACTTGTGTAGTGGGTCACCGCCTCATGTTATTTTGGGTGATGTGGATCTTAGCCTTTCAAATTTAGTTTAAAGGATAATTAGTTTTTAAAGAAATTGTATCAAAGATATTAAAATAAATCTTATTATTTTGTAGATGACTACCTCAACTGTAACCACCTCATCATTCACCATCCGATCCATCCTCGAAAAATAAAAACTAAGCGGGCCCAACTTTCTTCATTGGTTCAGGTAACTTAGAATTGTCCTCAAGCTTGAGAAAAAGGACTATTTCCTTTATGAACCTATCCTCGAAGAGCTCCCGACCAATGCTGCAAAAGCATTGAAAGATGCTCGGGCGAAACATGTAAATGATTCAACTACAATGGGTTTCATCATTCTTGCAACTATGACTACTGAGTTTCAGAAAACTATTGAGTTTCAAAAGCATTTGAAATGATTGGACAACTCAGTATCATGTTTCCAGTTTAGGCAAAGCAAGAGATTTTTGAGACCTTGAATGCTTTCATTAGTTGCAAGATGGATGAGGGATCTTCTGTGAGTGCACATGTACACAAAATGAAAGCTTATGTTGTGCAGCTTTCTCTCCTCGGATTCCCATTTGGGGATGAGCTAGCGACCGATGTGATCCTAGCTTCATTTCCTAAGTCATTCAACCAATTTCTGATGAACTTCACAATAAATGAATGGGAGTAGATCATTAATGACCTTCATAACATGCTCAAGAATTCTGAGACAAACATCAAGAAATATGCGAATAATCATGTGTTGGTGATCCGCGAGGGTCAAATCTCCAAGAAGAAAACTTGTAATAATACCAGTAAGGGGAACGAAAAATTTTCCAAGAAAGGAAAGGGCAAAGGAAAGGTTCAAGGGCAGCCTCCTGCTACCAACCCAACTCGTAAGCCCAAGCCTGCTACTGACTCTGATTGCAGTCACTGCAATGAAAGGGGATACTGGAAACACAACTATCCCAAGTACCTAGAGGAAGTTAAGAAAAACAAGGCCAAGTAGGTTGGCACCTTATGTATATATGTGATTGAATTATATGTATTTCGTACTAATTATTGGGTACTCAATATTGGAAGTGGTACTAACATCTGCAATGATTTGTAGGGACTAAAGAATGTTAGAGAACTCAGAGATGGCAATTTGGAACTCCATGTAGGCAATAACACTCGAGTAGTTGTCATAGCCATATGACAATATCATCTTCTGCTTCCAAATGGTATTAATCTTATTTTGAACAATTATTGTTATGTACCTAGTATAACTAGGAATATTATCTCTACTTCTCGTTTGTATGAACAAGTTTTTCGTTATACGTTTGTATGAACAAGGTTTTCGTCATTGTGGCTTCTGTTGGATGTATATGCCCAATAATCTTTATTTAGTAATATTACCAATTAGATATGATTCTATAGGGTCACACCCAAATCAAGTTGGTACTTGTTAAATATTTATTAAGAATTTGATTATTAATAAATAAATTCCACTCTTGTATTTAATTAGAGAATTATTATTATTTTAGGAAAATAATAATAGAAACAACAAACTAGTCACTAGAGGATATGGTATGATATATAATAAGTCATGTACAAAGCTTTGGACACTTTGGTTAACCATGATTGAATTAGTTAGTTACTCTACGACGGTTTAAAAGCTAGTAAATTTTTTTCCTCATTAGGGCCATATGGCCGATGATATGATGAGGATTGGAGGTTGCTTCTCAACCTTTACTCTCTTGTTTCCAATGCTCCTCTTACTAGCCAATACCTTAGAGTATTATTTTGAGAAGGCTTTACCTTGTATGGGATATATAAATAGGCTCTTATGCATGAAAAAGTTTCTAGTTTTTTGGTCTCCATCTTCTACTCTTTCTCTCCCAAAACCGTAAGCACCATAGAGCTTGGAGCTCACTTCCTTTTGAAGTTTGGTGCTTTGCTTTTGGTGCTTTTATGAAATCCTTTTTAGTGCTTATTTCTTAATCACTTAAAGGCTTAAAGAAAAAATCAATACAAGAAGAAAACTAGCTTTTTTTGTACCTTATCTTGTTGGTGGATTACTTGTAGAGAAAATCAAGCTTCTTGTTCTTTCCATCTACTTTAACACTCCAAATCCAAGAGGGTACAAAGGCTTCCAAGTTTGTCATTGTAAAACACCATATGGTTGTTTTAATATCTTTCTAGCATATTTAAAAGCATCCTTGATGGTTTGGTTTTGTTATATACTCGAAACTTATAACCAATTTTTAAAGCTTCAATTGCCGGTTTTTATGAAAAACTCTCTATTTTATGAATCAAAACCCTTCAGCTTCTACTGTCATCACTTTTTGTACTTTATTTTACTCTTTTATTATTTATGTGAAGAGGGTTCTGCTTCGTGTCTTCTCGTCCAAGAAGCGTTTGACGAGGCTTGTCGCTCTATTGCTCATGTCGAGACTGGCATATCAACTGTGCATGGTGCGGAGTTTAAGTTCTTTAATGGGCTGTTAACTTTTCATGATCGTTATCTTTATACTGAAGTGAATTGACGAGCAACTGAAGGTATGAGATTGGTTGGGGAGAAAATGCTTTTGAAAACTGGTGGTATGCTTGTCGAACTGTTTGGTCGATATCATGCCGCGCCGGAAAAGATTGTTATGTTGGAGAACCAGCGATCACTTTTACAATCTGATTATCAAGCTTGCCTCCACGAGAAAGATATTCTTCATGCTTAACTTGCAGCCAAGTCTTTATGAATCCTGGAGTTGTGGTTGGTTATGCTATTTTTTTTGTCGCAAGTACTTGTTTCAAAGGTGCTTGTGGGTGTAACCAAGTCTTTTCATATTACCTTGTGTTGTATTGTACTGTCAAATTTTTTTTCTTACGTATTTTGTCCCCTCACTCTAGTTATTGGATGCATAAGACCTTCTTGGTTGTTCAAATCCTCTATTTTGCTTACATGTTAGTATGATGCTCAATATTGGCTATCTTGGTGGTGTTTTCCATGATATAGCGTGTGTCGAGACCATGTTGTATATTAAACGGTTTGTCGATCGTCCCTTCTTCATAATAATGATGATGAGGTCTATACAATGGTATGATCGTATGTGGAGACCATGTTATATGTTTGTTGGGATGTCATATGTCCCGTATACATGATAATTATCATGATGTTCTTGCAATGGTATGCCTTGCATCGTGACTATGCCACACGTTTTTCAGGATGTCGTTTGTCCCGTTTGCATGACAATGATCATGATGTTCATGAAATGGTATGACTTGCATCGAGACCATGCCACATTTTTTCTAGGATGTCGTTTGTCCCGTATGAATGATAATGATCATGATGTTCATACAATGGTATGACTTGCTTCGAGACCATGCTATACGTTTTTTCAGGATGTCATTTGTCTCGTTTGGATGATAATGATCCTGATGTTCATGCAATGGTATGACTTGCATCGAGACCATGCTATATGTTTGTCGGGATGTAGTTTTCCCATTTGCATGATAATGATCATGGTGTTTATGCAATGGTAAGACTTGCATGAAGACCATGCTATATATTTGTCGGGATGTCGTTTATATCGTTTGCATGATAATGATCATGATGTTTATGCAATAGTAAGACTTGCGTCAAGACCATGCTATACGTTTGTTGGAAGGTCGTTTTTCCCGTTTTGGTTGTAAGTTCGTTTTGAGCTTTGTTTCTTCTTCTTCGTTATCCCATTTTTATTTTATGTGGCATTTGTTTGCCTTCATTTTCGTTTACACATCGAATTTCCTCAAAGTTTTGACATGTCATGACCTCGGTATTGTCTATTCATCCAGTGTATGTAAAATGTATGAACTGTCTCTGTTTACTTCTTGGATTATGTATAAGCCTTTCCATATTGGTCTTAGTTTACCCTATGGTTCATGTCTCCTCGCCTCATTGTTCCATAGTACTTGTTCTCCTATTTTGAAAGATCTGCCCTAGACGCACTAGTTATAGTGATTTTCGGTTTGTTTCTTATAGTGTAGTTTTTGTATTGCCGCTACCTCCCTTCTATCTATGGATATGTCTAGGTTGGTTTGCAAGCCTATGTCGTTGTCTGTCGAGTCAAAGTTTGTTGTTTGGTTTGTTAGGACGGTCAGTTCTAACGTTAAAACCTACTCTGACCTATACACCAGGATAAAAGGTGTTTCCTTCGTTGCAGTGTGTGTTCTTGTCATGTATTCCCACAGGAAACTTGGAAATTCATCCACCCATCATCCTTTGTGTAATGACCTAAAATCCAATAAGTAAAAATTTCAATTTTCAATTCACCAATCCAAACATCACATATCTCGAAAACATACAAAATACAAATTATCACAAAATATCAAAAATCATAAGGGGAGGATGTTGTGCCATCACATGGGGCCCTTCCCTTTTGTAAAAGATGTACCTGAAACTAAAAACATATCTGTAAGCACAAAGCTTAGTGAGTTCCCCCAAAATACCACGTACACCATACACACAAACATAACAGCACGTGGCTGTGTCAGGTCCGTAACAGCCCCCGGGTCCGTATCAACCCTATGTAACAGCAAATGGGTGTGTCAGGTCTGTATCAACCCCCGGGTCGGTATCAACCCCGAGTCCATAATGACTCCTATCCCAATTTGGCTCTATGCATATATCATACAATCACACAAGTAATAGTCACATGATGGCATACATCCTACACATACAAATCAGTGGGCCAACCTTGGTGCCTTCGAACCACTAGTGTGGTAAAAAGACTCACCTCTAACCAAAGATAACAGAATCACACACTCGAGCTACTATTATCACGGCTCCTCATACTAAACATAATCCAATAACAATCCTAATTAATAATCGGGGTTAACCCATAAACGAAGGTCTAGTTCATCCTTTATCAATCTAAGGGAAAAAATCATTTTTCCCTTCCTTTCATGACCCAACTAGACAAGGCCCACAATCCATAATGACCCAAAAGTGTTTCCTGGTAGTACACCCCGTGTACTACCCATTATGCCCAACATACAATCATGTGATGCATATTGGTTTATGGGAAAAAGATGCAGTACGCGCAACATACTTATGGTTACACCCGGCGTACGCATCATAATTCTAAATCTTCTATTAAGGTCTTAATGATTTAAGACCTAACGTCCAATCTTCAGATCTAACATCCAAAAAACGTCTAAATTCATAAAGTTGTAACCTTTGTGCCTTTTGATGGACAAAGGAAGCTAAAAACCAAAACCCTAACTTAAATCATCATCCAAACCTCCTTAACTCTTGCATGGATGAAAACCAACGACCAAGCTTGCATTTTTATGACACTATACACCCTAAAACGTTTGAAAGGACAGCTTAAAAGCGCTGGAGTATTCAATACTCAAAAATATCAAGGTTTTGGTAAAAAAAAAGGGTATAAATCTAAGCATAAACAAGATCTAACAAAGAAAGCTTCAAGGTATGAACTTTATATCTTCTGAAGATGGACAAAGATGAGAAGAATCTGCATCCAAAAGCTTGAGAGCAAAACCACCACTCCAAGGGTATTCCTTCACTACCAAGAACACCAAAATGTCACTATAAAGCTTCAAAACTCTCGCGCAATGATTAGAGTTTCGAGATTGAGGCTAAGAGAGATGGAGGTTGATGGTAAGAAAGGGTTTAAGGCCAATAAATTCTTTAAATAGGGTCTAAACTCTAGAAATAAGAGTTTGTCCTCTGCTTGCACACGCCCCACTTACACACACGTACTCCTACATATGTGAGAGATTTCACGACCATCATTTAACGTCCTACGACCGACGTACCTATCTCGTACGCCTAACCTAGGGACCAATTTTGCAATTTTTTTAAGAAATCAAAGCTAAAATGAAAAATTACCTGGAACACTAGCGTTACAAATCTCCGTCACTTGAATTAGACTTCGTCCTCGAAGTCCGATACTGTAAACAAGTATATGTAGTGGTCTCTCATCTCATCCTCATGTTCCCATGTCCACTCTGAACCCTTCCAGTGCTGCCACTGCACCTTCACCAAGCTCATTACCTTTTTGCACAGAGACTTGGTCTTCCTGTTGAGAATCGTAATCGACCTTTCCACATAATTCAGGTGCTCATGGAACTGGATATCGTCGAAAGAAATCACCGCCGAATCATCGAAACACACTTCCTCAACTGAGAGAAATAGAAGGTGTTGTGGATATGACTGAGCTCATCAGGAAAATCCAACCGGTATGCAACCTTGCTCACCCGGGTGGAAATCCTGAATGGGCTAATAAATCAGGGCCCAACTTGCCCCGCTTTCGAAACCGGATGACACCTTTCCAAGGGGACACGTTCAGAAGTACAAAATCCCCCACCTAGAACTCGAGGTCCAAACGTCGTCGATGTGCATAACTCGTCTGTCGGCTTTGCGTAGCTCGCAACCTGTCATGCACATGTTGAATTAACTAGGTGGTATTAAGCACTACCTTAGTACTCCCCCTGACCTGATGCCCGACCTTTCCCCAGCAAACTAGAGTCCTGCACCTCCTCCCATACAACATCTCAAAAGGTGGTCGGTCAATACTGGTGCGATAAGTGTTGTTGTAAGAGAACTCACCCGGTGGAAAGTAAGTATCTAACTCCCCCCAAAATCTAACACACATGCCCGGAGAATATCTTCAAGCGCATGAGTCGTCCTCTCGCTTTGTCCATTGGTTTGGGGGTGATATGTTATACTGAAATGTAGTTGAGTACCCAAATCCGAAATTTCCTCCAAAACCGGGAGGTGAAGCGAACATCTCGGTCTGAAACCACCGAAACTGACACCCCGTGTCGAACCACCACCTCCGTCATGTAAATGTTAGCTAGCTTTTCAACAGATATGCTCTCGGAAATCGGTATGAAGTATGTACTCTTGGTCAATATATCAACAATGACCCAGATCGAGTCAACTCCACGGGTCATTCTTTGCATTTTTGTGATAAAACCCATGGTGATCTCCTCCTATTTCCACATGAGGATGGGTAATGGATGCATCTTGTCATAGAGTCTCTGATGTTTGGCCTTGGACTTCTGACAAGTTAGGCACCACTCCACACGCCATGCTATCTCCCTTTTCATACATGGCCACCAATAACTCAACTTCAAATCCCTATACACCTTTGTGGCCCCCGGATGGATGAAAAACTTTGACTTATGAGCCTCTTCTAAAACTGCCTGCCTCACCCCACCAGTATCGGATCCCAAACTCTACCACACTGAGTCAACAGACCCCAACTATCTCTGAAGAATAAACGAATATGTCCCCTGATCCGCTCTGCCTTCCAATTCTCCTTTTTATGTCCCTCCACCTCAGTCTCTTTGATCAAATCTAGAAAAGGAGAAGTGATAACCATCCTCAGACACATATCCTCGATAGGGATACTCCTATCCTTACGAATCATAGCATCGGACACCACATTGGCCTTCCCAGGGTGGTACAGGATCTCACAATCATAATCCTTTACCACATCCAACAACCTACTCTTCCGCATATTCAATTTCGGTTGATCCATCAAGTACCTCAAACTCTTGTGGTAAGTGTATATTATACACCTAACCCCATACACATAGTGCCTCCAAATACTAAGGGCAAAAACCACAGCCCCTAAATCCAAATCATGCGTAGGTTAATTCGCCTTATGAGGCTTCAGCTGCCTCGAAGCGTAAGCAATCACATGACCCCTCTGCATTAGAATAGATC